CGCGCCTGGAGCTCACCACGACTTTGAGCTCTCCAGGGTTCACGAATTGGTAACAGATTTGTCTGGGAGAATAGAGCCATGGTTCAGGTGACCACCGTAAATTATCACATAACTCAGAAATGAATTTAACTATCCCTAACAATGCTATGAATTTTATCGAATGCATAACGCATACTTCAAGGTTTGACCAACGCTGACCGCTCCACACTTTTATGGAGAAACTAACAACAGATATCTAATTGTTTTTATTAGTAGGAGCCTTTATACAGTTCCAAAGACGCAAACAACGATTTGAGAAAAAAATGAAACGCACTACAACGGTATAATTATAGATGATAACTTCAGTAATCTTCCTTCTTTTCAGTAATATGTTCATCTGTTTCATTATTTTTCTTTGTCGGCTTGTATATAGAGCTGCTTGGACGTGTACTGAAATACATACATGTTGTTAGGTTCAATCCCGTTCCCATCACTCGTTACGGCCCTATGTTAACAATTTAGTACCAGATTTGTCTGGTTGGATGCGAGAACTGACTAGGCACCTCGATAAGTCCATGTAACTATAGGCCGAATGTGCTTTCAATCACCTCTACTCTGCAACGAATGGAGTCAAATGCAGAGTGTTTCCTTAAGAGACTGGTGTCGACCAGTCTACCGAACGCTCTTTACTTTATCCTTTTTACTTTAGCTATTACTTATTTACAGTTTTACCTGTAGGCAAGCATTCGACAGTCAACCTGCGATCTATACGGTTAAAGTCAACATTTAACAAGGACGTATAATGGATAATTAGACAACTCTATGCACTGTCACTATAAATTAGAGGTAGAATGAGGCTAAGTGTGCTTTCGACTTGACTGAGACTTTACTTATTCCATCAAGGTAGCAATACTATGATGTTTTTATTCTTAGATGGAAATGCTAAATTTGGTTTCATGTTAGGTGATTCTTTGTTTTCCCTCTGAGCAGTCGCGAGGTTGTTAAACAGCATACGTTTACTTCCATGCAATAGCGCACATACAACACAATAGTAGCTGATGTTTGGGCAGAATCGCCTTTTTCAGGGCCGCTTTTTTCACCTGTCTTCCACCGAGGAAGAACAGCCGCTCAGAGCCGCTTGGTCGTCAACCATGTGCTACTCTGAGCGGCTGTTCTTCCTAGGTGGAAGACAGGTGAAAAAAGCGGCCCTGAAGAAGGCGATTCTGCCGAAACGTCAGCTGCTATTGTGTTGCATGTGCGTTATTGTATGGAAGTAAACGTATACTGTTTAACAACATCGCGAATGCTGAGTGAGAAAACGATGAATTCATAATCCAATGCCGAGGTTAATAGAAAGTCGATCCTGGGTACTATTAGATGATTCTATTCGCCATTAATTAAACACTCCGTATCTCGTATAGTCGTCGTGCCATAGTAAGACAGTAAGTAATAGAGAGAGTAACATCATCGGAAATCACCCAAGTATTTAAAGATTTAATAGGATTCGAACACTAATTCAGTGTCTATGAAAACAAACGACACGTTAACATATTATCTTCAGAAAATGAATGAAAGGCAAAACTTCTATATGAACGTAAACAACAAGTTTTTCTCGTTTCATTGCCTTCAAGCACTTTTAGCACATGCAGAGATTATTTTACGTGGCCTACACAGGTACAATGAGCAATAGAAAAAGCTTATCATATTGTGGCTAAACGACACAGTAGAGATACCTTCTTCATGTCGACCTTATCAATAGAAGTCTTGCTTGAAGTGTACGTTTCACGCTTCAACAGTTTTATTCTGGCGAGTTAAGAGCACAACGACAATAACGTCAAAGGTATCTTTTCTCCAACCAAAGTAAGAGCTAGAAGAGAACAGAACGAAAAACTTATAGTTATACTTTCCTCAACAGGGTGAAAAAATTTTAACGGAATTGTAAATGTTTACCACGGCGACGACAATGAAGTGATCCCGATTTAACGAGGTGATTATCAAGTGTTTAATTTTAAGCTTCTAACTTCACCTTTTATTTGTTGCAGCTTTTTCTTTTGCTGAGGCACTTCAATGCTAACAGTTGAAGATTTTGATTGCTCTACACAATACAGATTAAAGCGTAAACGTTGAACCATGAAGTTTTAAAATATCAGACAACACAATCCTCCCTTTGTGCACTTTCAACTTTTTTCTTCCTAGAACAATCATATCTGCCGAGATCATTCCATACTGGTAGAGAGGATCTAGGAGAGTAAAATAAACCGTTAAGCTTGGAGTTTGATCATAATTCCATATCCTTCAAGCAATTATAACTTCTATAATAAGTAGCAGTACATATTCCGCGTATAACTTTCATCTTTATTCACAAAAATTACGAACTCTTATTGCAACCAAAAATGCACAGTTTGCGTATTGAAGCGTCGAGTCTGTAAAAAAGAAAGGAAAATACATTAAAGAAAAGGAAATAAAACAAATTGGTAAGGCGAAAGACCACAACTAGCTGTGATGACTAGGCAAAGGATTCAAATCTGTTCACACCGACCAACAGACCACACATGCATACACACATGCACATATGCACACATACACACGCATATATATATATATATATATATATATATAGACACACCCACACACACACAAACGCACACACAGATACACAGACAAGCATATTCATCCACATACACTCATATAAATATATATCCGCATATGTATGTATATATATATATATGTAGGATTAACAAGCAGTTGTTTGCCCACCTCATTTCTGATGCGCTCCCATTCTTGTCTACTCCATTTTCGGTAACCAAGATGAAAACGTCAATTTATGTTGTATCCATGATATCGGGACACAGTCCTTTGCTCCTTCTTTCTCAGCTTGTCGAAGCAACCACGACAGACTTTGTACCATCTGATATTGAACTGATTCATATGCGAATATATGCATATTTCTCCCGCGGATTACCTGATCTGTTTCTACGGATGATATTTCCTGTTCAGTTGCTTTCGATCGCTTCAGTATGATACCACGACATGCAGGTGCGAATGAGAATTTTCTAGAAGAAATTATGAACCATGACATTGTGGAAAATATATGAAAGGATATAATTCTGAACAGTTTCTTTTTCTTCACGCCTTATTTCACCACGGTCAATTTCATGCCAAGATGACAACGAACGTAACGTCTTTTTGCTTTCCATAATCACCGACTTCGATTTTAAGCCAAATCTTAGCCGCTTAATCCGAAATTTACTATTTAAAACATTCACCAGAAAGAATGAGCAAGATAGTTGAAATATCTACTGATAGCCAATCGTTTTCTTTAACGGAAAAATTGTTTTCATGACAGAATAGTATATGTCCTTCCAACTACGTGCAATTTATGAAAACTTTTTTCTCAACTGTTTTTTCAGATTACTAGTTTCTCAAAAAATTCCCGCTTTGCAGTCACTTGCTTGTCGAACGGTATTTTGTAGGTGTAACGTTCAGTGATAAGCTATGATTTACCTGCAGTCCAGTGCAATATTGAGAGGAATAAGAGTGATGAAGAGGAATAGTATGCTTCGCATATCACTGAGAAGACGGACTGAGGCTTGTCCCGCCCTCTATGTGTGATGTTATACCCTTGCCAACCTCTTCGTTCTATAACTTGTCTAATCAAAGTTGTCCATGATACAATCAGCGAGATCTGATTTGATTTGACATCTGTAAACTGGATTCGGCAAGAACAAGCAGAATAAGAGCATTTGATGTTCGTCAAGTTATAGTACACAGTCATACTCATTCGGCGAAAATTCTACTAGACATTTCTGGGCATTTTGATTTACGAAAACTGAAGGCGTACGGTTATTAACGTGGTTTCATTGTATTAATAGCAAGTTTATCATGTGTCATCATCCGTAATCGAGTTGTTACAACCGAACAAATCAAACAATCACATTCTTCGTACTCGCCAGAAGTCGCAGCCTGACGAAAGAGTTCACTACTATGATCTACTTGATTGCCTTACACTAAATGTATTATAATTTTTGTGTGCTATTCCGTTCTTGCGCCTAATGTAGACACAGAGCTTGTTGTGGTCTGCAGTGCCATTGTTTATCTGCAGGATAAAAACTCAGTTGGAAATGTCGAACTTGTTTGCAGCATCGTTGACTTTTCCAAAATGCTAACATCCTGCAGATAAAGCTACAAACATTGCATTTTTTAAAATGATATATTACTCGCTAGTGCACTATTGCAATTAGCGTGAGGTCTGTTGCCTAGATGCTCTCTATTTGAGTAATTCCAACAGAATAAATAAATATTAAAGAGCAACAAACTTAACAAGAATACGGTTTTGAGAAGAGTACGGCACGGCTAGTCATTCACACAATTACCAAAGCTTGTCAAATGCTGTTATATTTCACTTCATTCGGATTTGAACGTTTTCAGTTCTAGCAAAACTGACGCAATCATAAAAAGCCTAAGGAGAAAGTAACCAGGACACCAATTTTACAGAGATGATAAAATTGAGAGGGGACAGGCACAAAACATTTCTTCAGCTAAGGTTTCCTCACCTTCGCCTTCCTCAGAATCAGCGTTGACCCGAGTCGGTGGCTGAATAAAATAGTCAACATTGCGATTTCAACTGTAGCCTTAACTGGGTCAAATGACGATTTCTGTTACTCAGATCATTCCCGCTA